TTTTTTTTTTTTTTTTTTTTTTTTTTTATTTATTTATGCGCAACAATTTTTATAATCGAGCTTGAATATGATTTTATCTATCGTTATTATGTTGTTATTAATCGATTAGTTTGCTCTAGTGTAATAAGATGAAATTACGTCAATATTATTATTCAACGTCTCTGACTCTTTTCCGCTCTCAATACGTTATCCGTTTTTTGCTACAGCGATAACTCGCGTGGCTGATCGACGAAAAAAACCGAGGTACATAACTACTTTCAAAAAATGGAGTTGTTTCAAAAAAATATCGGAAGAATCGGATTTAGACAGTCCAAGAGAATCTATTTGTTCCTTCCACAGTGAAATATGCCTTGCAAGTAATGGGCAATTAGAATTTATCTCATCGTCAATTATCGAAGTTTCTTCGTAAAATAGGTCAATCTTTAAAAAAATAAATCTTGTTTCCCTTGATTAGATGTGAAGCTGACACCGAAAGATCACAAAGAGATCAAGAAATCTCAAGAGAAACGATACGAAGAAGTCGAATGAAGAAGAAAAATAATTCTTTTTTCCCTCCCCTCTATCCAATTGTAGAAACGGAATCCGTATAATAGAATAATAGAATAAAGTATTCGCTTCGTTGGGATAAAGTAAATTTTGCAAATAATAATAATAATAAGAATAAGAATAACTTATTAAGTTTAATATATGAATAGGAAAATTAATAATTAAATAGAAGAATATCAGAAGAGAAGACAATGCACAATAAATGGAATTCGATGTTAATTTATTTATCTCTTGATCTAGGTTATAACATCGATCAATCCGCGAATTGTTTCGCGTACAAAAAAATGTAACTGCAATTCAACACGGGGAATCTCCGTTCGTTTCTGCAAGGATTCTTCCACGAATCATTTAATCCTGCTACGCGATAAAAGGTACGAAGGAATGAGCAAACAAGAGACTTGTTTGTTCGAGAAAAAAAAATTTAATTATTAGTCATTACTGGTCGATTAAAGATTAAAAAAAATTCGATCAATAAATTAATAATTCCAGGTTAAGAATATATTCATTGCATCCTGCTGCTCTTAATTAATAACAAGGCCACAAGATGGGAGACTTTATTAGAGAAAAAATTAATAAGAAATAGAATTTTCCACTTTGAAAAAATTTTTAATAAACGAAGAGAACAATTATTCGATCGTTTGTTATTAATCGATAATTTGTTTATGTATCAATCATCGATCATAAATTACTTCATTAAAATTTATTCGAGATACGATACACGTAATTTCTTGCACAGAAATTTTCCGCTAAAAAAATTTCATTGTGTAATACGTGATATTATTCAACGTGAAAAAAAATTATTTAACATAATATCAAAAAAAAAAAAAAAAAATAGATCAGATGCAACTTTACCTTCATTAATGATATGGATAACGTGCAGATAATTTAAACGTGATTTGAAACGTGATTTAAATTTTTCTTCTTCGTTGGACAAATTTTTAAATGGGACAAATGTTTTTTAATTAAAAAAAATTTACATGTGCAGAAGAGAATAAAATTTCTACCCCGCGACAAAAAGAGGAAAACATAATTGTCGTGAGCGAGTTCAACATGGCTTCTTCGCGTGCATAACCATCTTATCTGTTTGTAACCGCAACAGGCGGTTATCATTCTAGTTCGGAGAAAAAAAAGTTTTCAACGAATTAAGTTTCTGTTCTCATTGTCAGTATGCGAATGGTTATCGACGAGGAAGCCCAGAACTGCCCAGAACTAAATCTTTCTTCTATATAATCAAGTTCAGTTGTAAGTTTTCGAGAATAGTTTACTTCGAACGAACGAAGCGCTTCATATTCCTATCATATTCAAGATCAAAAAAAAAATCTCGAAAATGTACTACGGAATACCGAAAATAATAAGTAAGTGATAAATTTATACGTACATAAGTTCTTAAATATCGTTGAATGTATATTTTTATGGAGTAGTGTGGATAATTTGACGATAATTGTCAATTTTTTAACATAGAGAATTATTAAAATGTCAGTTTATTTAAATAATTATCTATCAAGACGTACTTTTTGTTTATTGTAATAAATCAATAATAACGATGAATAGTACTTTTTTTTCTTTTAATCGATGATATTAATTTATTGAAATTCATATAGATTTACATTCGTTTAACGATCGTTCGTGTTACACAAAATATTCATAAACTTGGAATTACATTACAAATTATTAAATTTCTTATATATTTATTTATATTATTTATATACTATATTATATATTCCTTTCTTAATATATTTTGCGCACTAAAATGCGCATTTAGAAATCTATTTATCTATGCGTTCAATATACCGATTATTTATGATAATATTCCAACACGATTAAAAAAAAAAAAGAAATACACATTAATTAATGTTGCATTAATTTGTGCAAACAGAAAATCCAATAAAATACAACATTCGAATAATTAAAACTTTGTTTTCGTAAAAAAAAAAAAAAAAAGGAAATCCAAAGAAAAATAAAAAAATTCGACGAAAGTTCCTTTATTCGTCGAATTATTTCCTTATATTTAATCTAAACGATAAATTACTCGTTAATGCTTCATCGATCCCTAAGTGGATTAATCCGTCAAATTATTAACCTACTTTCATAAAAATTTAACGAATAGAACCGCTCTCCTTTCTCAAACGATATTATCTTAGTTGGCCTGTAAATAAACCATAAAATTCCTTTCAAATTCAGAGACGAAAAAAAAACAAAGCACGATCGTTTCCTACGTATTGTTGAAATTATTTTAAAATCTCTTGAAAATCTTTAAAAAATCTCTCCTAGAAATTGGCGATATCCTTTAACTTTGAAGTTGAAAAATTCGTCGTTAAAGATTGGGAAACGATCCAACGCGATAATAAATTTAATATTATATCAACAAAATTTACATCCCGCGTTTTCTATTATACTCGCAGGTAGCAATTTATTAAAATCGCGTTGTTAAGTAATTTCTATGCACACACTTGTAAGCAAACGTTGCACATTACGATTGAAAGCAATCGCAATCTTTCTTTCGCAACACGCATCCCACCTTACACGTTTCCACTTAAGTATCGGTTTTCTCGTGCTGAAAGAACGTAACACCGTAACAAACAACGCTTCCAACCTTTTTCCCGCGTGTATCATGCCCCGACATACTTTCGTTTTTGCTTGTCAAATTCCACGATGGATCAACCTGAATTCACACGTGTTGGAAACACGTTCACGCGTCAAATATCGTAATTTTCAACGATTTTCCGGCAATCTCGATCGAATTCAAACATTTCGTTTTCAACTCGCGTGGATATCGAGAAGAATAAAATTTCGATTTTCGTCGTGTTCGAAAAATAGTGTTTATAACAAAAATATTGGTTTGTGACTCGATCGAGGAGAATTGATTTTCGAGGGAGTTTCTTTCTTTTGCAGTCGATCGATTCGAATCACGGTACTACGGCTTTCCAGCCTTGTGAATGTCAATGGCAATGAACCACTTGGTGAAAGCGATTTTTAACGACCTTTTCACTGTGCTGAGACTGCTTATCCTTATCAAAGAACGAGTTCCCCTAATGATTTCAAAAGTCTCCTCCTTTCCTCGAAGGAAAAATTCGAAAAAATCGTGATAAAACTTATAATTAACGATTGTTTGACTTGGTCAAGCATTCTATTCTATTCTTAAATACGAATTAAAGTCCAGATTTTGAACATATCGAAATAACCAGTCGATTATTCAAATCATCGCTCGATTCGCTTAATTTCTTCCGCATCCATGAACAAATCGAGTGATCAAGGTGATCTGATCTCCAATCTCTTCGAATGATTGAAAAAGGAAACTTGTTTACGTCAATACAAAAAAAATGAACCATATAATACATATAAACTTATTATATAAATGTTAAAATGTATTCCGTATAAATAATAACATTGTGATTTATAGTATATTTTATAACGCGTAATGTTTGCACGTCATAAATTATTGCAAATGAGGTTTGTAAATCATACTTCTCTAATAAATTAATCAATGTCAGAAATATTTCACGCCTTAAAGTGAAATATTTAACAAACATTTGAAATTATTGTTGAACCCTGAACTCGCGAAAATAATCACGATACATGCAACGCCTCGATCAACCGCTTAAAATCGGGTATATACGTGTCGGTAAATTGATAAACTTGCAATATACCATACGATAACTTCCTCTTTTCTTTCGAAGAAAGAAAGAATTAAAAACTCGTTATCGAGACATTTGTTGAGTAATGAATAAGTGAAACAATGCACCCGTTTAAGAAGGAGAATAATATTCATAGGATAATGTGCTTTTCTTTTCTTTTTTTTTTCTCTTTTTCTTTTTTTCTTTTTTATCGGAAAGACAATATAGGCTTTGCTCTCGTTAAAACGGAATAAACGGTTGATTTCTCGGTGAATTGGGAACAATTAAATGTCTTTCAACCGTCTGCCATTTGATTTTTTATAGCACATTTTTATCCATCGCGTTAGTTTTATCGTTTCATTAATTCCGATATTTCCATAAAACAAGTTTGCACGCGATTAATATCCGACATTGGAATAGAGTTATCCGTTCTGTATGATTTTATCAAACGACTTTATAGATCGAGATACAATTAATTAAAAAACATTGTAACATATAACATGTAATTTCCATTAAGATTATCATAACCTATAAACCTGTGACCTAAAATTTGAAGAATTCGATATTAAGTCATTTTTCTGTCCTTCTAAAATAAAATGGGAAAAAAATGATAAAAATTTTGTCACGTTGGAATCGTTACAAATCTGCATATATAGTTTTATGATTTTATTCCGAGCAATATATATAGCAAAACAGGTATTTCCACGAAACGTCAGAATTAATATATATATTATGTAAATAATACATGATATATGAATTTTAATTTCTTGTAATAACGTATTTATTATAATTACACGTGATCGATCGCAGAGACAGAAGTCTTATTAGTCTTTGCTATTCATCGGTCGACAAATATCGTACCGAGTGAAATGGCAACAATATATCGATAAACTGTGCAATAATTCTAAATTGAACGGCACTTTTTCGTATCGAGAACTTTTTCTGATGGAAAGATAATTGCTTATGTTAAATATACATTCGTCATTGATATTAATTGAACATTGAGTGTACTACAAGATATGTACGTGTGACTTTGACAAAAAATTATGATACATTTATTAAAGAGTGTTTAATATCAGAAGATTCGGTAGATATTTCTCATGCTGATAAATATCGTTATGGAAAGGAGAAAGAACGGTTAGTATCATAAGGCAAAGCATCCCTTTAATTTTTATCATCTATCCGTTATCTATTTTCTTTTGTATGTAAATATAAAATATTATCTATATTATCACTATATTTTCTTAATCTCATAAATTAGTTTAATAAATTGATAGAGCTGTTTGTTAAATATTTAAAATATAAATGTATATTCTAACAGCAAACAACAATCGTGCCTTTTGTTTTAAAAATCCATTGTATAATCTATTATATGAATTAATTATAAAATAAATAAAAATAATTATGATTTCTGTGCATCTTCTCGTATTAGATTAGATTTATATATAAAGAAACCCTTTTATCTGTAA